TAAGGTACTTCAGTTTCATTTTGCATCAAATTTCGGACGGAACCCCAAAGTCATATCACCACTTATCAAACTGCAGTACAGGAAACCTAATTACAATCTGACAGCATTTCGAATATTCTTAAAATATTCCATCATTTCCTTCTCCAGTAGAAAAAGCACTCATTTTACGAATTTCCTTCATTAGACTAGGTAAATGATGGAAGCTATGAAAGTTGAGATTAATGCTAAGCTGAATGCAACACTTGCTTCAGAGGTACTGAAGTTTAATTTAAAACTCCACACGTGCACCAGAAGGCGCGTAGTTGCAGGCGCTGACACTCGTTATCTTCCCCGGCCTGATAAGCGGCCTCCTGCTTACCACGCCACGCAGCTCAGTTAACTCAATGAACCAAAATGAGGGATTTTTAGGTTGAAGAAAACTTATTCCAAGAAATTCATCATGAAAAAATTCTTTTCAGTGCATGAAGTAAATATATAGGCAGTGCATGCGGGCAAGCTTGTAGCTTGTTGGGAACCCTCGGCGACCGCCTATCAACCGTAGAACAACGGTGCCTTCAGCACGCTCAGGCCTCGCCTTCTTGTACCCTCCCCGCCCTCTTGGCCCTATCCCCCCCATCTCTAAAAGCCTGTCGTGTCGATCCCTTGATTCCCCCAGCCCACCCCTGTCTTTTCCTTTGCCAGCTAAAGCTCAGCTGTTCTGCCAGTCGAAATTTTCGAGGGAACTTTACTATACCCAACTCAACTCTTTTTTGTATTTTTCTCTGTCTTTTTCTCCGTTCAAGAGGCCTAGGTCGTGCATTTAGTAATGGCTGGACAGAAAATAAAAAAGATAGTCGGAAAGCCCTCTACGGACGGAAAGCCCTCAGGAGGACATGTGCCACATTGGGAGGAGTCAACGGCCATATAAGTGGCATTTCTCCCTTCGTCTGTTAACCCTCGTCTATTTATTGTTTCTGTTTAAATTTTGTTATTTTCATGTGATATTATCTGTCTCCGTTAAAAACTTATAAGCAAAGAAAATTCCACAAAAATTCATTGTATCTTTAAAGTAAACGTTCCGGAGTCCTGCTCCATCGTCAGTTCGAAAATTCTAGAACACAGATAAATCAGTAATTAGTACAGTCAAGATTACAACAAAAAACCCAAGCCGAAAAAACCTACCTATTTACAATTTCAAGCGGGTAAGAGCTAAAAGCTAAATTTAAACTAGGCCTCTGTTTAAAAATATGCAATGATTCTAAAACGTGCAAATCAGAAACACCGGAACTGGAAGCTAAAACTTTGAAGTCACTGTCTGAAACTGGAACATCGCACTGCTCGGCGTGAGCCCGCACAGCCGAATGAGGTGGGCGCGACAGTAAGTTACCAGTTCCACAACTCCTGCCCTTATGTTCTGCGACCCTAGAATAGAGATTGCGAGACGTCATCCCGACGTACGCAGATGCACATCGTGCACAACTATATTTATAACTAGAGACGATCGCATATGCATAGGGCGAGTATCTTTGTACCTAAAAAAGAACCGTTTTAAAATGGTTGACCAATATGACACGAAGATTAACATTTGTTAAATACTTCGAATAGTTTCGCTCCCTTGTGAAATACTTCGCTCCCTTGACATAGTTTCGGATGCAGGGCCAAAATATGGAAAGGAGCAATAAACAACATCCCTACCGTCGCGCTCGGGACCAACCTCAATGTACCGCTTAGACATGAATTTCTTTATTTGGGTAAATACCATATTAGTCGGAAATCCATTAAGCGAAAAGATATTTCGTAGAAATTCGAATTCAGCGTGCATAATATTGTAAGTAGAACAAATACGAAAGCCCCGATGTAAAAGTGTATGAATCTCATTAATCTTAAATCGAAACGAGCAAAAGCTAAAAAAAGCTGGTACTGAAACCTGTGAAAGTCAATTTTCGGAATACAGAAGTTTGAAAACGGCAATTAGATTTAGTAATATTGCAATCGAGGAAGGACAGGCTATTGTTAGATTCCAGTTCCATAGAAAATTTGATGGATTTATGTTGCGAATTTAGGTAATCGAAAAAGAGTTTAACGTGAGGAGGATGCTTAAAAAGTGAAAAAGTGTCATCAACGTATCTGTTGTAGAATATTGGCTTAAAATCAAGAGAGCAATTGGACAGCCAGGAAACCTCATGAAAGCACATAAAAATATTTGCAAAGGTTGGGCCGAGCGGGAGACCCATGCCCAAACCGTCAATCTGTCGGTACAACTTGTTAGCAAATATGAAAAAAGAGTTTAAAACAGATATTTACAAAGGAGATTTAAAAAATTACGTTTCAAACCTATAACGAGATCATTTACATCCTAAAACAAAGAATTCAGGCATATATATATGGTTTCATGAAGAGGCACATTAGTGAATAAATTTTCCACGTCAAAAGAGGCCATAGTTAGGTCCTGAACGTTGGTAAAATTCTTTAGGCGGTCCACAAACGTGTAAGAATTGTCTATAGTATACTTATTAGTCGTGAGACAGTTTAAAACCGGTACCAAAAACTTAGCAAATTTAAAACTAGGCGTATTGTACGCGGCAAAAATTGGCCGGAATTGCAAGTTAGAGGCAAAATCGGACTTATGAATTTTGGGCAAACCATATAAAATAACGGGACCTGAACCAGAGGTGAGAAGTTTAGAAGTTTCCGGTGAAAAGGCAAAAGAATCTTCAAGTTTTCGCAAGAAGTCATTAATTTTGTCTTCAATTTTCAAAATTGTTTTAGAAATTGGTCTGTAATTTCAACGAATTTAGAAGGATCGGTAATAAGTTCTGTAAGGCTACTGTTGTACCGGCTACGATCGACCAATACAACCCCCCTGCCTTTATCACGTCTACAAATTATCTGGTCTCTATTTTTGGCCAAATCTTTCAATAAAAGCGTGTCACATGGTTTAAATACAGAAGAAAAAATTTTATATGACTTGAAACCACATTATTATCTGTATGCGTTATCCCTTGCTTGCAGAAAGTTCCTCCAACGTATTCTAGGGAAAGCTCACCTTTCGAGCTAAGAGTTCTGAACTATTTCAAAAATGACAAAATATACACTACCTTATTATGCAACAGCATTTCCGTTATTACAATGAATGAATGTCTTCTTAATAGCCCATTAATGTCAAGAACTATTTTTTGATTTTTTTTCTGTTTCCTGTGAGAATATTATCACTTGTGACAGCAATAAAAAGAAAAGATGTTCGAATATTTATTTTTCGTTGTGTGGGAAAAATTATAGCTTGGTCCCATTTGGAACAGGACTAAATATTTCATGATTTGAATAACTTTAGGAATATTATATCACGTAATACCATATACAGCATTAAAAGTACTCACCTTATCGATAAAGTTCTTCATCTAACACATAAATAATATATTTTTTAAACGAATTACTCACCTTTCTCTTCTATAATATCAAGCCGTCCAGTCTGACATCTAGCTAGTTCTTATAGTCATTGAATGATAACTGAGCAGGAAGTGTTCGGCGCAGCAGAACCAGAAGTTGCCAGAACATGTACAAGATGTGTATCAAACCTATGCATCCACTTGTATATTTATTTGAGCTTACAATTTAATTATGAATCCATTTTTCTCCGCTGGTTCCAAGTGGAACTGCTCGGTATTAATCGGTTAATACGTATCGAGCGACATTTTTCTATCTTGTCCAAAATTATCTGTTATATATTCGTCCATGTTTTTGTATGTTTGAACCAAACTTTACTTTAATACATCGCATACATATGTATATTTGTCAATGTTTTTGCATTTGTAGCTTGGTACCACACAATATGAATTTTAATTTTAAATGTATAATTGTCTGACACTGATAGATGGAGGAATGGGTTCAATTAGAAAATTTTGACTTCGATATCTAATTTGGAAAATATGTGTTATATTAGAAAATAATTTCAATTTACTTTCACATTTCTTAATGAGACTCTTGAAGAATTGCATTCAACGTAAATTTTACTGGAACTTACTTCAATTAACGTGTTTAATCTTTTAAATTAATGAAAGTATATTATATAATAGGTTATGCGAGGGCGATCCGGGATGACGAGATTCGGGGTGACGGTATTCGGAGTGACGGTATTCAAGATACCAGGATTCTCAAGTTACAGCGATAATCTGTACCTTTTAACGCCACGCTAACCTATTTGTCTATGTGTATAAATTATCCAACATACGATAACTTTCATATAACATTAATGTATAGGTAATCTATAATAAGAACCCTTTATTGTATATCTCTTATCATCCCGACACGATAACGGCAGAGATAAGGCATGGTGCGCAGAGACGGTCAGTGTGCTTGTCTCTGTGGTGCGGCTGGCACGTGCATCTCTGAAATTTAATATTTTTTATTCATTATTTATTATGTAAATGGAATTATTGCAGGAAGTCAGACAAGAACATTAAACACAATCATTGAATTGAGTGCAACAATCAGCGCCGCGATGATAGAAGCAGATCATCTGTGTTTCTTTTAAATCATCGGTGTATGGAAAGAATTTCTGTAAATAAAAACAATTTCTATATTTAGAAAGAATTTCTGTACATGGAAAGAATTTTTATGTGTATAGAAAGAATTCTTATTAATAGAAATAATTTTTACATATAGGATGAAAGAAATAAAGAATTTTTATACATAGATATAAGAAATATAATTCAATCTATTCCGTTAATCCAATTTTTTCAGAACATTTTTCCTGGTTTCAAATCTTGTATTGTTTACTCTTTTAATACGTTTTCCTGTTTTTTCTTACTCATCTTAGAATTATTTTTTTTTGTTATTCAAGTTCTAATTTATTATACGTGCGGTGGATGCAGTGAATCCCTGGCATTCATTTTTTACCTTTTTCCAGCTAAAACTTTTTAAAACAATATTTCTACTCTCAAAAACTTCATGTCCATAAATATCCATCTACAGAATTTCCCTAAAATATTTTTTTCCCGAAGTTAGAGCAAATTTAAATTTTTTTCCGCGAAGTATTTTACATTGAAATTATAAACTTGGGGTAAATTATATAGATCTTACCCTAAGCATGGCTGGCTGGGAGTACCAGCTGGGGAATATAGGAGCCTTTACGGGGGGGGGGGGAAATATAAATCCCCCGCAATTAGGGAGCACTGGTCACCCGACAATGGGTTAGACCATAAACGCGACCCCGACATCTCCCTACAACTTGAAGTCGGGGTTCGCTCAACCCCTGACTGCACCCACTGGTTTTATGACTCAACCCCCACATGCACTCCTCGGGTTTGGGGCTCAACCCTCTCATGCACCCACAGGTTTTGGGGCTCAACCCTCTCATGCACCCGCTGGTTTTGGGGCTCACCCTCTCATGCACCCACTGGTTTTGGGGCTTAACCCTCTCATGCACCCACTGGTTTTGGGGCTCAACCCTCTCATGCACGCACTGGTTTTGGGGCTCAACCCTCTCATGCACCACTGGTTTTGGGGCTCAACCCCCGCCTGCACTCCCTGGACATGGGGTTCAACCTTCCCCCAACTTGGACATTGGGGGAAATTATGTCGGTTTTGTCCCGATTTCTTCGAACATGATTTTCAAAAGGGGGACGAAACCGAAAATTTAATCGAAAGTTTGCATGATATTAATGATACGCGACCGTACAATGGCGGTAGGGGAAGAATGATGTGAGGAGAAATAAGTACAAATCTCGAGATTCTACGGAAAATTTGATCAAAGTGAGCGTAAACTATTAATTAATTTATTATTATTAAACAATACAAGATTTAACAATGATGTTCACCAAATAATCGGCACAATTCTTCACAAACCCTCGAAAAGCTTTCGTAAAATCAACGTGAATCAACCAACGTCGTTGTGTCGGAAGTTTTACGTCAACGCTAGTCGCAGGAGACTCGATTTCAAGCGAATACACAATAATACCACAGCTTCAGGCAGTGGTCCTCTGAACAGAAAAGCGCCCAGAAACACAAAGTAAGCGTTTCCATATTAAAATTATAAATTATATTCTACGACAGTTTAAATATTACCGCATCAAAATGCGTAATAAAATCAAATTCTACTCTTCCTTAAATTTAAATAGAGGGATTAATATCGATGCAGGGGCAGAGAAACGATTGCATTTACGGTTAATTTGAGGAATAAAATTTTTTGTCGATTTGAATGGTAGTTGAATTATTTTATACCGCAACACAATTGATAAAACTATAAGAAAATAACGATAGCTTTCGCAGCTATAAGCTTTCTCACCTCACATTTGATACTGGATTAGTTAGTTTCGTTAGGTATCATGCTGACTTGAGAGCTTATTTGATACATTTGTTCATTTAACCCGACTTAATTTGGATGCATTATTAATGTGATGCAATTACATTAATAAAATAATTTTAATAATTATAATGATTTTTTATTAAGCATTTAGCAATATTATTAATGAGATTTTGTAATTATTTTACGTATAAATTCACTATTTATCTGTACAGTTTTGAACCAAATAATTATTCTAGAAGATATTATCTTGTATTTACCTCTCAGGTCTCCATACGAAATAAGCACGGTCTCCATTGCATTACGAAATAAGGTTTAAATTGCTTTACGAAATAGGGTTATATTGCTTTACAAAAATGGGCTTATATTGCTTCACGAAATAAGGTTTATATCACTTTACGAAATAAAGTTCATATTGCATTAAAAAATAAGGTTTAAATTGCTTTACGAAACGGGGTTTATATATTGCTTTACAAAAAAGGGCTTATATTGCTTCACGAAATAAGGTTTATATTGCGTTACGAAATAAGGATAATACGTATTGATAAATAAGGCTTTGCTTGCAGTGTGATATAAGATTTATATTGTTTTGCGAAATATGGTTTATAAAGAGTTCCGAAATAAGGTTAACATTGTTTTGCGAAATAAGGTTGCTATAGTTTTACGAAAGAAAGTTTTCAAATTATCTGTTCCAAAGTATTCTTAGTGTATATGGTTTCCAGATAAATGCGTGACTTTTTCAAAATGACGGAACTTTTACTGCCCTTATGTTGGTCTTCCTGTGCCAGTTTGACCCGGCAGAAGGGCGTATAATTACAATGTATGTTTAAAAAGTTCTGTCTCAATTTCTACAATAGGACTCACTAATCATTTTTAGTGCGTAGTCTGGACTTTGGTCACAAGCCTGTAGCCACGATGGTGCGTTGTTCACGCGCGCCTGCTAAAATTTCTGTCGTTCTGAAATAACATGTTCATTACCTTAGTTGACGGATGGATGTAATATTACAGAAATACGAAAAATATATTTATTTTTGTGAGCAAAACATCAATAAAATTATTGGATTCGTCACGAAAATGGCTTTGATACGCTGTGCAGTGTCGCAATTTTTTTACTCCATGCAACGCAGTCATTTTGGAGTAATTTTTCAAAGTTTTTTCACAATGCAAGCATAGTGTAGCAAGCAACTTTTGATGAAAATTGTCACCCCTATCAATGGGATTTCCATCTGTAGCTTTGTATTCTTCTGATTAAAACGTTCAACAGGAAAAAATTCTTAGTAAACTTAAATATTTAGCTGCAAGGGACAAACAATTTCCGTTCAAACCGGCATATTATACCAAGGCTCGAAAATCTAAGAATAAATTATCTTTATTTTCAAGGTTGTAAATATTCTTGACTTGAAGCTGTGTTTAGAAAAAAAGTAAAATCTTTCTAGAAAATGTATTAATGACCGAAGTTTGAGTGAGCAAACAAAATATCTGCAGTTTAGATTAATAACAATAAATGAAGCCTTGAGTTCTTTGACATGATTTAAATACAGTATCGCAAGAAATCTTCACAATAACACTTTTCCTCTCTCCAGAGCGGAGAAGTAAAGATGCACATCGACCGAGCAGGAGCGAACTTCCCCATCCGCTCCCTGGCCTAGAACTCGTCCAAGTAAGTTCGAGGGTCGGTGAGTTCAGTCTGGCTTAGACCAGAAATTTCGCCGCGAGATTCGGATATTTGGAGACGAACCATCACACTAGTGAGATTAAAGCTGGTAAATCCGGGACGAACAATAAATTTTTCGATAAAGTTGCAGCTACTAATTTTAAATAATTTTTCATATGATTATGTTTAATCAATAGCTTGATTTAATTGATATATTACGGAAGAAATGTGTACATTGACTCGCGAAGCAATAGCGGATCAATAATTTTATAACCAATCTCACCATTCTTTTTACAACACTTCTCCTTAACTTCACTTCTTGTTTGTTTGTTTGTCTGCTACAAATCTTATAATCAATATTTAACACACTTCTACTTGTACAATTGATCTAAAATTTTGCACACTTACGTAAAGTTGGAGACAATGCACGAATCATTTAACAGAATATATAATTTTAAAATGTATTTTTTTGTAATTTCAAAAAAATTGAAAAAATAAATTTTTCTTTCACAAATCTTATTCAACATACTTCTACCTGTCCAATCGATCTGAAATTTTGCACACTTGTGCAAAGTCAGAGACAATGCATGAATCAATTGACAGAATAAATAATTTTAAAAATTTAAATTTTTTTCTCATATTAATCTTAAAAATTTACAAATTAATTTTTATAAATATATGGAAATAAAATTAGAAATTCATTGTAGATATGTAACAACGGAGACACTGTATTCTTTAGAAGTGTTGTCTTTAAAAGGAATTTTTAAAAAGTATATTATTAATTTACGTGATGTCATTTAAAGATCTATCAAGCACCATGCCAAGTCGAAACCTAATAGGAGCTTAATCAGAATTAAGTCTCACATAGAGTTGCAATGGGGATTTACATTAAACAAACTTCTCTTTCAATGTTTTAATTTTACATGAAGGGAGGAGGCGTACGACATTGTTTGCGTGGCAGACTGGGGACAGAACCTCTCTTTCTCCTCGATGAATGCAAAACTGGTACGCGATATGATTTTATGCAGTTGAATCGTTCATCCACGACATGGATGTCGCATGACGAAACCTGATTTATTCTACAAAGATATAATGTCAGAAGAGACAGTATTGCTTCAAATATTTGTTTCTTTATTCAAGGTCTATTTTTTACACGAAAAACATAAATTTTTATAATTATTTTTTTTTTGCAAGAAGTGATTTATCAGTATGTGTTGAAGAACATTTGTTACTGATGGGCCAATTGCCTCATCTCAACAATTTAATTTCAGTTAAAAATTGTACTTTTTAAATTGCTGAGACTATTTTATGAATTAATCAAGAGGATAAAATAATTGTTTCAGATTGGCAAGGAGCGACCCTTGGGCTTCGACCCCTGCTGTGTGAGCTACTTCAGCAAGTGCGAGTACCTCCTGGTGGAGGTTGCCAACAGGTCGTGCAGCCAACAGGAGGTGGGGGTTGCCAACAGGTCGTGCAGCCAACAGGAGGTGGGGGGTGCCAACAGGTCGTGCAGCCAACAGGAGGTGGGGGGTGCCAACAGGTCGTGCAGCCAACAGGAGGTGGGGGGAGCCAACAGGTCGTGCAGCCTCTACACGAGAGAAGGAGTTCGTCTTGGCTTGATTTGTGACCAGCAGTCGTGGGTTTGGGGCTGTGAAGCTCATCCCGACTCCAGTTATGTGGTGAGAAAACTTCTTCGCCGAACACGGAAGCTTGATCAACAAAATTATGGCTGTGAAACATTGTCGAAACTATATTTCAGATGTGTATGATTGGCAAAATTAATCACGGTCAAGTATTGAGTGATAAATACCCCATAAATAACTCCATGGGTACAAATTGGACTCAGATTTGGAATAAGCTACGTACGTAAAAATTACCTATTAGTTACTAACAGTCGGACGAAAGTATGACCCTAATATTTTGAGGTCTCGAAGTCTGACCTCAACTTTGACAGTGAAATTTCATTCAATGTTCCTACAGGTATCTTATAGATATGTTTGACACAAGTCGCTATCGACTGGAAAAATTTTACGTTTTAAATCTATAATTTAATTATGAGGCTGAGGGGTTACAGTTAAATAAAATTTCTTCAGGCAGTGGGATGCCAAGACGGGACTATCGCGTATTTGCAGCTCGTGTTCGCCACTGTGCACGGTCTGTACAAGGAGCGATACGCGTACCGGGAGAACATGACGGACGGCATCATCCAGCATCTCATTACGGAACAGAAAGTGCGCATCAAGTGCCGGGACTTGGACATAAAAAGTGGCCATTTACAAGCACAGACTTGCAGTAAGTCCAGAAGTTCTGTTAACAGTGATACAATATTATGATATTTGGAGTCAAGATATGTATTTTTGTGGCCAAAAGAAATTAAATTTAACCAAAATATTTTGGAGAAAGTGATATTGAAAAGTCAAAGTTCGTTATTACGAGCTTTTGATGAGAGAAATTTTGCGAATCAGCGTTATATTTTCCGATGTCAAAGGCAATAATGTATCAGAACTTTAGCAAGATTTTAAAGCAATCATAATACAAGCTTCATATTCAGAAGAAATATATTAGTACCAATTTGTTTAATTACAAAGTTTGAAACATACGTAGAGGCATCATAATTGAGGTCGGCTTCTATTGATTTACAGGTTAAACTCCCGGAGCGCGTGATCGTATACGAGCTCTACTCCCAGGAAGCTGCCCACATGCACTACAGGTATTCAATTCTTGCGTGGTAATTCTGGAAATCCAGACAATCTTGCTCCTGGTATCCCAAAACAATTGTTCTGCAGGTGTCCAATTCTGGGCACGGTAGTTCTTTAAATGAAGACAATAGTGCTACAGGTCTCTGATTCTGGCATGGATGTTCTGGAAATACAAAATTTATTGTTACAGGTACCCGATTCAGAGCATGGTAATTCTGGAAATGAAGAAAATCATAAAATTGTAGCCAGAGGTGAAATTCATCTTATAGACCTTCTCGGAAATCCTTAATTCCTGTTATGAAATTTCAAAGTGTCTTGAACATCACAAACTAACAGTATATTTAAATTAATGAAGCAATGTGCAAGAGTCTTTGTGGAAATGCTTGATTGAAAAATGTGGCTTGGTCATTTAATTCATTGCGTTTCCTTATTGATGAACTGTTTTTGAAATTACTGGGTTCAGATCACAAGAATAATCTCCGTAAATCATAAGTGTACTAACTCTGTATCACAAAATTCATCAGTAATTTAATAAATTTTTCGCCTCAAATCTAAACATTCCTTCTACTATTCGCTCAAAAATATTTAAATATTTTTACAACCTTGAAACAACAAGATTGAAACAATTTATTAAAATATTTAAAAAAAGATGGTATAGTTTAAGTTTAAAAAGCTGGTTTAAGTTTTGCACGAAATTTAACTTTAACAATTTTTTTGCAGATGTATTATTGTAAAATAGGTTTTAATTTACATCAATAATGTTTTTTTATGAATATGTGACGATCATATGCATTACCTACGAATGAAGTCATGAAGTTTTGTAAGTAAAATTTAAGTTCAATCAAGGAGACGGTACGGACGTTGAAACAGCACATGTCATGCGCAACTGCCATATAAGTAGCTGACTGAGTTTCGATGAATTATCATAGCGAGTCAAGGAAATTACGATTGATATCATCTGAAAATATTCAGTATCCATGCCTGCCGGGATGAATTTTCCGCTTAACAGGAAAAGCTTTTTCTTATTACATGCCTGAAACTTTCGCATTACTTTAACAAGTTTCAGACATCCATTGTGTATTATTACACAATGGCCAACCTGCACTACAATTCTATCATCTATTAACTGTTCCTGTTTTACCGATAGTTTATTATGTCATGTAGCATTTCGGCTTTAAATTAATCTTTATCGCTTCCATTTGATCGCAGAGTTCGAGACCAGATCAATCAGAAGCTGGAGTGCAACTTGCTGGTCGTATGCACAAACCACATCGTCCTGTGCCAGGTGACCTGCACCGGTTTGTCGAAAAACACCACAATGATCGTCGAAATAATGCACTATTAGCTGCAGCAGTCAAAATTAATAATGAAATTAACTAATAATAATTACATTAATTGGTTATACTGTGCAAAGCGTGACACACTTCCTGTCCGTAGCACTGATACGTTTTTTGCCGAGCCTAACAGTGTCAGATGGCAAAAAAAGGACAAATGTTTATCACTCATTTGTTTGAGTGATATGTTCTTATCAGCAGCACGGAATTAATAAAAAGTCATGCTGAATACGTTATTTGCAATTTATGTACTTTTTTCCTGTAAAAATTTTATAGAAAACTGTGTTTTAATGACAACTGATTACTATCTGGGAGCATGAGAAAACAGGTGAAATATTTTGGAAAAGGATTACAATTTTTTTCTATCCAAAATTGCGTAGTTTTTCCACCCTTATCGATGATTAACGGGAGAACAAAATGAAATGATAAGAAAAGAGAAGTCGAAGAATTATCTCTAATGACATTGACCGCGACAGTAACATTTTAGTTCTTGTTATTTATATAAACATGTAAATCTAAACAAATTCTACCAAGGAAATATACATTTCCTTGGTATACCCTACCTCCTCCTTAATACTCTACCTCGAATACTATCGATAGAATAAAAATCAATCACTGAATAACTATCATTCAATCATATCTATACTATCATAAATGTAATAACTGCTTAATACGTTCAGCTATTAAGCAACACGATTGCTGGATTTAACATCGCAGGATAACTACTAAATTTGACTAATTTAACGTACAGGGGAAGCGGCTGCAGTGTCTGAACTTCACGGGGCTACGGAAGCGAGAGTGGCAACTCGACTCTATGATCCCCTACATAAAAGTGGTTGGGGCCGCCAACAGGGAGGGGCTACTGATGGGGCTCAAAAATGGACAGGTTGCGATTATGGTTGAACTAAATGAGGTTAGGAACTATAAGGTGATAGTTCAACCAAGGGTGAGGATTCTGAAGACTATGAAGTTAATTGTTTGATAATTAAACGTTGAAGTGACTCCGTTCATGATCAGGTTAAGTAGTTTTTGAGTTCAGCTTCTAACTTATGCTTGGTCACACCGTGGAAAAGGAAGTTTTAACTAACTAGTCACTTATTATATGTTATATTTATTCCATATTAATGGCAGGTGCTGAAAATATTCCTGGACAACGCGTTTCCCGTTCACCTGCTGACGGTGAGCTCGGCCATCCGCTGCCTCGACCTGAACAGGTCAAGACACCGCCTCGCTGTGGTGGACGATAACAGCGATCTACTCGTCTACACTCTACCTGATGAACTGCTCTGCAGCGTGAGTCTACTGCTGCACTCTACCTGAGGGTGAACTGCTCTACAGTGTGAGTCTACTTCTATACTCTACCTGAGGGCGAACTGCTCTACAGCGTGAGTCTACTTCTTTCTGCAGCGTGAGTCTACTGCTGCACTCTACCTGAGGGCGAACTGCTCTACAGTGTGAGTCTACTTCTGTATTCTACCTGAGGGCGAACTGCTCTACAGTGCGAGTCTACTGCTGCACTCTACCTGAGAGCGAACTGCTCTACAGTGTGGGTTTACTTCTATACTCTACCTGAGGGCGAACTGCTCTACAGCCTGAGTCTACTTCTACTTTCTACCTGAGGGCGAACTGCTCTACAGTGTGAGTCTACTTCTATACTCTACCTAAGGGCGAACTGCTCTACAGCCTAAGTCTACTTCTATACTCTACCTGAGGGCGAATTGATTTACAGCGTAAGTCTACTTCTATACTCTACCTGAGGGCGAATTGATTTACAGCGTAAGTCTACTTCTACTCTACCTGGAAACTTTCTGATGCCGATGTACATTGTAAGTCAACTGCTGCTCAGCACGATCAAAGGTAATGCCATTTTTATATAAAATTGTCCAAGAATTCGTTCTGTGTAAATGCCGTAAATTCTTGTGAGTTTCCGAATATATAAATTCTCAAGAGAGCAAAGGAATTTCGGACATTTCGGAATTGTTGGCGTTACAAAAAAAGTTTCATTCGAATAGCATGAAAGACCAATTTTGTGTCAAAATAGAAATGTTTTTTTTTAAGTCTGTATTGAAGACTAACTTGTTACACTCATAATTGGAGTAATTTTCTAATTGCAGTGATGAGTACTTCTACGATAAATCAAGTGATTAGTAAACACCTCATTTCGAGGTACAAAAATAAGAGCGTCGCCAACTGAACGTTCTCAGAACATTTTATCATATTATTGACCCGATAAGTTTAGAGTGGAGGGAAAGTGCTAAATAGTGCTAACTAGCGTGCACAAAATGTTAGCAGTTGGGCAGTGATACATGCAACATTTATAGAGTGACTGAGAAATATAAACTAGTGATTCATCACTTACTAGCAAAGTAAAAAAATGTCACTGAATTATTAGAGCAAATTCTAATTTCAAATGGTGATCGCGATTTCTAGAAAATTTTGAAAGCTAAATTTTTAATTAATAAATATTGCATTCAATTCGAATAATTCAATGGTACTGAATTATGTCAAAAATAGTTTGATGGCAGCATAGCTTTGCTGCCTAAATTTTATTCACATAAATTTTCAAAGGTGTTACTTAGAAGTAGGGCAACATGGGGCAGCGCGCCCCCCCCCCCTTTTTTAAAGTAAATTTTTGATGAAGTTTTAATAGATACGAGGTGGTTCTTTGTTTGTTTAAAGGTACAACTAATGAGGAATGTACGATGTGAATTAGACGCCTAGAGTTGTTCAAATTTTAATGAAACACTATTTTGTAAAAAGTGTCAAATGGGCATATTGCCCCACCCCTGGGGCAATGGGCCCATGGGCTTGGGGAAAGGCGCCCACCCATGGTCCCTTTACCACAATTGCATATTTTTCGTTTAAAAATTATAAAACATCACTTTACAGTTCAAAATAAGAAATATGTAATAAAAAATATGATATTCATTCATTTATTAACAACTCAAACAATCATATCCTCAACTTGAAAAAATATACTCCTGGCTTAAAAATCTATCACTAACCTGAAGAAAAATATTTCATTGACATAAAAATATACATTCTTAACTTGAAAAATATATCCTTGCGATAAAAAATTCATCCTTGACATGAAAAAATGTATCCTTGACTAGAAAAAAATATATATTTAGTTGATCAGAAAAAAATTGGTTCCAGTTTCGTCCATAATCCAGATATTATGTGCAGAGAATTCGTACCTAATCGTGATTTCAGCCAACACCATAAAAACTCATCAACTTTTGGCTCCTTGGTGTTGACTGAAATCAACTTTTGGTAAGGCAAGAGTCAATAACTCGATAAGGAGTCATAAATACACATAACTAGAAACTAAACCTGCTGCCTTAAGGCGGCAAATCAAAAAATCATGCTATATGAAGTGTAATTTGTAATTCAAAAAGCTAGTTATAGTTTTGAAAAATTCATTGAGACAAATCTAATGATGTATAACACAAGACTTCACCATGGGCGCTTTGCCCCGTGACACGCGTGGGCCCGTTGCCCCACTAGGTATCATTTCAATTTATATCGTGTCAATATTTTATTTTAAAAGCTAATAGTCTAAACTTGATCTCAAAATTATCCCTATAAATATTAATTTCAACATATAATTCACAGTAATTTCAAAAGTTTCATCTACAGTAATCGAAAACAGTTATATTTAGCAGCAAAAAATTTGCATCTGTGCTAAACAGTTATTCACAAATAACTTAATAACGCAAACACTTAGCAAAACTTAAATCCGTACACTTCATCCCAGTGAAACTGTCGACCGGCGGTAGAGAACACGGACCAATATCTGCCATACTTAGCGAGAAACCCGCTATGGGCCCATGACCCGCAGTGGGCTCGCTGCCCCATGTTACCCACTTAAAAACAATAAAAATTAATTTCTTTACAACTAAATTCATGAATTCCTTTAAACAACTTCAGAAGAGTGTACATCCACTTAAAAATATATCCGAAAAGTCAAAGATAGATAAATCGAGAATCAAATATATTTGGGAGCCAGGTGCATGATATGCTTGCGAATCGCAGTTTAAAGGAATCAGTGTTTATTATAATGTAAACTAGTTAGTTCTGCACCGCACTTACATACAGTCAAGCGTGAAGGAAATGAGTGAATTGAAGATCTTCCTATAATAAGGTTGAAATTATTGCGCTCGTGAACGGAGCTCCGGTCGCGGGTCTCAGTTGTGGGTTAAGTTGTTGTGCAGGCAGGGCATAAGCGGGGTTAATTTGTTATGTAAGCTGGCCAGTTGTGGGTTAAATTGTGTAGGCAGATCAGTTGTGGGGTTAAGTTGTTGTGCAGGCAGGGCATAAGCGGGGTTAATTTGTTATGTAAGCAGGCCAGTTGTGGGATAAGTTGTGCAGGCAGGGCAGAAGTGGGGTTAATTTGTTATGTAAGCAGGCCAGTTGTGGGATAAGCTGTGCAGGCAGGGCAGAAGCGGGGTTAATTTGTTATGTAAGCAGGCCAGTTGGGGGGTTAAGTTGTGCAGGCAGGGCAGAAGCGGGTTTAATTTGTTATGTAAGCTGGCCAGTTGTGGGTTAAATTGTGTAGGCAGATCAGTTGTGTTGTTAAGATGGGATCATTATATCATTTCCCAATCATTATCCAGAATTGTACCTCACTAAACCGTTCAACGTAAGAAAATCACGGCATCAAATTCGTTGATAGCGTTGACGACGATTTCTTGTGGAAAAAAATCTATTCGTGCCGAAGTGTCAAATAAATATTTTCTTCTTAAAAAATAATATTTCCTTAAATAAACAAATTTTCGAATCATTTAACGACTTTTCATTATTATTATTAACTATTTAACTATCTTTATTAACTAACTATCTTCTTATGTTAGGAGAAAGGAGCCAACAGCGTGGTGTGGAACACGAGTTGCGATGCAATGCTCTGCTATTCTAGCAACTCAACATTCAACATCAAGGCCGATAACTCCCCACCGCACGAACAGAAGCTGCAGGTGGAACGATGTGGTGTGGAAATGAGGTACGCATTTTTGCAAGTGATAGAAAACGGGATAACATGAAATTGCGATGACGCACATGCATGCAATAAATTATGTGTAATATGCTAAAAAATCATTTAGCTTTTTTCACAAAACCGGTTATAAAGACGTTGTCCGGGAAAAGTAATCCTCGCAATTTGCAAATCCTCTTATTCCGAATCCTGTCATCCTGAATTCTGCTCGTATGCAATAATCCGTCATCCCGTGTTTCGTTAATAATATAGTTACTTATTCTAACAAGTGTTCTCCCAACCAATAGTTTGCATGAAACTTACAATTAAGTCCCAGTTTTAAAATCGAAAAAAATAATTTCTAATTAAATGCAATTTAGACGCACCGAAATAAAGGTCACTTTTAATTGTCTGTTAATTTTTAAATAATTTCTCATTCAAAATCCATCCCCTCATCCTGTTATACCAAACAATCCCCAAACTGAAATGGAAATTTTAGGCCCCAAAATTGAAAAGCGATATTGTATTTATATACTAGTGTGTTATTGAAAATAAATTACGAATGAAAATGAAATATCATTCGCATGTTGTAACTGTAGTTAAATGTGAATATTACATGTTCAATGTAAAGTGTTAAATGCGAGTTTGAACAGGTCTTCCTATAATATGCTTATATTAATTTTATTCATTTTGGTAGAATTAGAGGTAAAAAGCTTAAAAAATTGAAGGAATTACAGATCCCGGACAAGACCGGGTTATTCTGCTGGTATATAATACATAATGACAAGAGCAATGCTGCAAAGATGTGATAAAACATTTTTAAAATTTACTTGCAACGTCTTTAATGCTGGCATCAGAATGTGAATTGAAAATGTATATGAATTTAATAGCAGTTTTGCTTACAAAACGTTAACATGAAATTGTACCGGGCTCATTGAACTGTTATGATATAGTTACAAATAGGTTAATTAATTTCTAAACCTTATCCAGTTTATGCTGAAATTCATCCCTATGTTATTCTAATTTCAGGGTTTCGTCGTGGGATTTAGCGGCAGTAAAATCTTTTGTTTGCACGTGATCAGCTTGTCGACGGTGGAGGTGCCACAGAGCGACCCCATGTACCAGTACCTCGATAAAAACATGTGCAAGTGAGGCTTTCTTCTGCATGAGCCAAATTCATTTAGTCTGCTCACGATAACTCGACAATAAATAATTTAAACCCTAAAGATTCAAGCTTCATTTTTCACAAACACGGCACAACCAAATACTCCAAAACATTAACATAGCCTGGCATGAGGGCCTTTGGACTGCTCTGAAATCTTTCGTAAATATCTTCAACTTGGTTTTCGTTACTACGACTACGGAACTTTATTGAGGCATGAATCCTAAAATATATTAGTATTCAACCAGTTACCAATATGATTAATTTATTGCATATTAATTATATTATTATCTTCTATTTATATCATTTGTATCCTTAAGGGAAGCGTGCAGCATCGCATGTCTGGGTGTGACGGATGGCGACTGGCGGGCGCTGGGTCGCGCTGCGCTCCACGACCACAACTACGACGTCGCCAAGAAGTGCTTCACCAGGACCAAGGACATGAGGAGTCTTCAGCTCCTGCAGATTATTGAGGTAACTTGGATTAACATCAGAGTCTAGCGTGCAAAGCTCCCGGGGCACAATGAGATAATTATTGTTGAACAGCCTGTTTTAAGACATATCTCGACATTTCTCTGAAACTAGAACTCGTCCGATTTATGAGCTTTCAAGTTATTGAATTTCTATTTAACACCATTGTTTGCAACGCCGAATTTTGCACATTTTTTCTACCTTTCGCTAAAACTTCGGTGGATTAGCCAGCGAAAAACAAATAGGAGCTCCGCTCCTATCTTAGCAGTCAAACTTATTAAACCAAAATGGAGCCGTGCCACACTGGTGGAACCCTTTGCCGGGTAGAGGTCGACGCTTTGATCTTCCTCTTTCTACCCCTTATTTCTGTGAAAAAATCATATTCCTTAAAATGAGACTTGGTTTTATTCAGTTGATCTATTCACTAAAGACCCACGTTCTAATGCAAATATATGAATAATTTGTACCTAACTTTGCACATAATTTTGTTCTAAACGACCCAGGTACGCGGTCAGCAAGGCAGTGGGGATCCGACTTTGGCTGAAGCCGATATTTTGGCGCACGAGGGAAGGTTCTCGGAAGCCGCCAAACTTTACCGCAAAGCCGGCCAGGACAGCGCAGCCATGAACATGTACTCTGACCTCAGGATGTTCGACTTGGCGCAGGTTACAATTTTGTAGACATATACACCCTCAAGATGATCGACATAGCGCAGGTGACAATTTTGTAGACATATACACCCTCAAGATGATCGACATAGCGCAGGTTACTATTTGGGGCAGATATGCACACCGACCTCTGACGGTTCAGCATGACGTAAACTATTTAAAAAGTCATTATTTGACATAAGTAATATATGTTTTGATATTATGTTAAAACTTATATTAAATGTTTCAGGTTAACAGTTATATTTAAAAACATTGGAATTAGAAATTTGTTATTGGCAAGGGTCATAAACTTAGCGGCAATATTAATAATTGTTCCTTTAGGGTTGTTGCAAAATAATATCACCGCAATGCTTGAATATATGGCAGGAATACCTGGGCGCCGACGGCACGATGGACAAGCAACAGCTCATCAAGAAGAAGGCGGACTGGGCGCGCAACATCAAGGAGCCGCGCACAGCCGTCGAGATGTACCTGTCCGCTGGCGAGACCGCCAAAGCCGCCGAGATCATGGCAGAGAACGGCTGGGTCGAGATGTGAGCAGGAGACAATTTTTATGGTAATTATTTTTTGTATCATACCTTGTTAAAAAAATTATACAGAAAAAATTGCGGAAACTGTCGTTTGATGAAATATTCTTGCTTTATTTTGCTTTCCATTCACACTGTGAATGGAATGCAAGGCAGTGGGGAATTTTTTCACAGTAAATTAACTCTACAATTAAATTATTAAATTACCTAATTATTAAATTACTTCATTAATTAATGAAGTTAATTAACTCTACAGGTTAATTTACTTCATTAAGGTTATTGTTGTCATAACATTAAATGAGCTACACGCAATTGCGTCATCGAACTACTCAGGTTAACTTTCTTCCTTGAGGATTTTGTGTCAATAATCAGTCAATGAGCTACACGCAATTTCGTCATCAAACTCCACATGTTCATCACTCACAGTACCAAAACGATGGACGGTCGTCTATTAAAACGTCTCATTAACAGGAAGATGTGCTTCACCAGTAGTCAATAATTGCATCTAATTTATGGAAATGGGTTCTATTTGCAGTTTGCCTGGACTTTCGTTAAAACATTGAATCAACAGGAAGAAGGGCGAGTTGCAGTGTGTGGTCGAGCTCTTCGTAGAGGATGAAGATTGGGAAGAGGCGTTCGGGTGGGCTGAGAAGCACCCGCAGTTCATGGAGTTGGTCTACGTGCCTTATGCCACCAGCTTGGCCGAGAAAGACGAGTTTCTCCTCGCGCAGAAACCCAAACAAAATTCAGATGCGGGTCCGACTCTGAAATAGGTACCGCCTAGGACTCGGGGCGCGCCTAAATCAGCTTCTCTGTGTCCGCTTTCAGTTCTCCTTTTCGAACCCTAGTCAGACAGCTACGAGAGTCTGCTCTCTGCTCTGGCGGCCACTGGGCGGTACGTAATGAGCTCGCTACAGGTTCCGCGAGAGATCTGGCCCAGAGATTAAGGTGGATAAAATCAGTATGCCGAGAATGTGTTGTCACCGCTGCAATGCAGCATGAAGAAATAAGTAGACAATGATGACTTAATTTTGGCAATTCCAATCAAAAAGTGATGGTTTATAGGCATTTAATCTCAATAGCGGGGATACGAAGTTTGCTGAATGTGATGATCGGGTTAACAGTTACTCTGCTGTTAATTTATCTTTATTTTTTTATTTTTTACTTCCTGGAGAATGAATTGAATGAAATTTTAGTTCAGAGTTAAGCATGCAGGCATTTTCCCAGATTCATCATACAGACAAATTATGATAGGTTGTTTGAATGTTTGGGCATCAAAATGAATCTTGCTTATTGAAAGTTCAATTTTGAAGTATCAAATTTTACGACCTACGTCTTAAAATTGGTTTACAGCCAACCATCTGGCTTCAGTTACTAGCGTTTTCTTGGTTGATACTACAAGTAAGAGTTAAAAAAATTATATTATCTCCAACAGCATTCCATAAAGCCGGAAACCCTGGCGAGGCATTCCGTGTTCTGGAGCAGCTCACGCACAACGCGGTGACGGAGAACAGGTTCAGTGACGCTGGCTACTACTTCTGGATGCTCTCTGCAGTGCCTCGAACACCTGCGTCACGACCACACAAAAGGGTATACTAAAATTATTCTAAATAACGTAGGTAGTTAAGGTGTAGTGTATGAAAAGCTATCAAGAACAGGTTAGAGAAAGCCAAGAATTCTGGAAACTCTCATCTAAGTGTATCGTGGCCTTTAACTCAAGCATTGTGGTGTGGGAAAGTGCAAACTTTGCTGCTTCAATATTATTTTCTCTAAACTAATAAATAAACGATTAAGTCAGTTATCAGTGCATTAATTGAAAGACTGTGACTGTGTCCTTCAGTCAGGAAGTTTAATGTAAAAAACTGATCATTTCGACTCGCTCTACACATCAAAAAATCTTGCAAAGCCTAATGCAGGTGAATGCGAGTCTCTTGAATAATTAACTTGACGAAAAAAGACGACAAATTGCAACGACTACTTATAACGAATATATAATAGTATTTATGTTAACAGTTATGGAGAGGATAAAGACGCGTCTGTGACGTCTTGATCATAACGAACGTTGGATAACGTCACAGAAACAAGCAGTCTGTGACGTCTTGATCATAACGAACGTTGGATAACGTCACAGAAACGTAGAGCCTCAATAAAACGTTATCCTTCTCATAAAAAAACGTATAAAGTTGCTATATTGTTGGGAAAATTTCCCAACCTGGCTACTTTGAAATTCCAACGAAGAAGTAGAGCTTACTCTGTCTATATAAGACAGAGGCGCAGCTCTCAAAAAGAAGCTACTATAAATCTTTACGTATCTAATGAAGTTATCCGCCGTCCTAACTGTTCTTGATTATGCGCCACATTTCTTCTCGTGTATAACTAATGGTTTTATTTTGTTGTGCACAACCCTTGCCGAGTTACTGATTTATTTTGGGTGCATGCTTTTGTCACCTCCTTTGAACACTTTGGCAGGCCCGTCAGGCTCTGTGATAATTATCTATTAAAGTATTAAATGCCTAACGTGAAACTAAACTTACTTGATCAATACCTTGAATTCTTAACTATTAATCTTTGTTTGGCGGGTCCCATTAAATCTTCAACTTAACCATAACTTCTCTTTAACTGTACTGCCGAAGTGTTCACTTCTCTCGTGGTGTTTATTAACTTTGTGGAACAGTGGCGACCATTAAATTTGTTCAAGTGGTGCGGTTTGCGACCATTGTTGCAGCCGCGTTTTAACTAAGAGAATTGCAAACAGCATACTGTTAAACTTCACTTCTAAAAGCACCAAAAGTGCACTTATTTTTGATTTAATAAGGTGAGCTCTAATGTGAAATGAAATTGTTGAATTAACGTAATTGAATATTTAAGCAGTGTTTGTCCTCAAGCGCGTTAGTAATAAAGTCTTTTTCTCGTACAGTATACATACTGGTCGGCTTCTGTCTTCTGTGACCACCTGGACTTCTAAATTGTTCTATAAAAATTCGAGTGACCTACGATAAAGTCTGGGATTAAAACTGAACTGCAAACAACGATTTCATCTGATTAAATTACTTCCATTGGCCTCTATTTGTTTTGATCCTTTTGAAATATTAGCTTTACATCTGGAAGAGGTTAACCTCAAGCGTAGGGAGAAATTTCCCTACAATATTTTATATTATATTTATATATTTTTTCTATTTATTATGAGGTCCATAATTATCGTAATGTCTTTATTATTATTGCCATCGTTATCGCCGTTATCACCGTCGTCGTCACTATTCGCCGTTTTTCGGTGAAATAAGTTAATAGTGATAAATGAATTAATTCACAATTAATGGAGAATATTCAGCCGTAACAGGCGTGACTTTACGTAACTTCACGGAAGTCACGTACGTTATTTCCGACTTTCGTTTTGTTGATTCATTATAAATAATTTAACCGTATTTTTCAATATATAATATATCCATAAACTTCTATTCATCGTATATCTAACTAAGGTTGGGCAGCAATTTTGTCGATCCAATTCATTTCTTCTCAGTTTACTCGCATTTATGTCTTATTTTACGTTAATATTTTATTATTAATATGCATATTTAATTTGAATTAATTTTTTGATCATGAAACAACGTTAGATCGAAAATCTATTTCAGCACTGACATTTTTTAATTAATTCGATGCATTCATTTAAGATTTTCTCTATAAATGTATTTATCTTCAATTATATTCTATAACATTTAAGATTTTCTCCATAAATGTATTTATCTTCAATTATATTCTATAAATTATATTAATTTGGCCAGCCTCCTCAGTTGGGAGGGCAGCGAGGCGCTCGTCAGGCCAGCGCGCGTGTGGGGCACAAGTGCTTGCATTTATAATTTATTTCTAATTAATAAATAAGTTTAAACTTTATTCCGCAATAATATAAAAATATGCATTAATTATTCTTCCCCACTGGGGAGGGCGGGGCTCGGGGCTGCACCGTCGTGGGGAGGAGTTCTTGCATATATATTTTTTAGAGTTCATAAATATCATTATTTTATCATTCATTAATATTCTTTCAAATTTTTAAATATATCAAAATTCAAATAAATATATTTTTAACTATATTTTAAATAAATGAATATTTAAATATTTAAAATATATAAATATTTGTAAAATACACAAATTATTCTCCCCCGCAGTTCGGGGCCCCGGTCTGCACGGCCGCGGAGGCGCAGGATTTCGCGCGCGTCCGGGACCGCTGCCCCGAGACCGGCGTCCTGCTCGGGGACCTGCCGACCCCGCGCACGACTCGTCGACCTTCTTCAGCAAGAGTCCCCCCAAGTCCTTCCAGCGTCCCCATGTAAGTCCTCCCAAGTCCTTCCAGCGTCCCCATGTAAGTCCCCCCAAGCCCTTCCAGCGTCCCCATGTCAGTCCCCCCAAGTCCTTCCAGCGTCCCCATGTCAGTCCCCCCAAGTCCTTCCAGCGTCCCCATGAAAGTCCCCCCAAGTCCTTCCAGCGTCCCCATGTAAGTCCCCCCAAGACCTTCCAGCGTCCCCATGTAAGTCCCCCCAAGTCCTTCCAGCGTCCCCTCCCCCCAAGTCCATCCAGCGTCCCCATGTAAGTTCCCCCAAGTCCTGCCAGTGGAATCGTCCCCATGTAAGTCCCCCCAAGTCCTTCCAGTGGACGCGCCCCATTGTAAATCATATTTTTGCGATGATTTTTTCAATGGATCTTCTCACGCAAGTTTGGTGAGTTATCGCCAGCAGCGAGGAATATATAGTGAACTTTTTTAACATTCCTGGAATATTTCAACATGTGGTGAATTTTGCTCTCCTCCTAGATGAAGCTGTTACTGGCCCTAGATGATGCACTGCCTTGGTTAGATGATGTCATCGTTTACAACCCCAGCCTCGTTTACAGCCTCCAGCCGCGTTTACAACCCCCAGCCTCGTTTACAACCCCCAGCCTCGTTTACAACCCCNTTAGATGATGTCCTAGTTCTCTGCTCCTCTCCTCCTAGATGAAGCTGTTACTGGCCCTAGATGATGCCCTGCCTTTGTTAGATGATGTCCTAGTTCTCTGCTCCCCTCCTCCTAGATGAAGCTGTTACTGGCCCTAGATGATGCCCTGCCTTGGTTAGATGATGTCCTCGTTCTCTGCTCCTCTCCTCCTAGACGAATTTTCTTGTAATTATACTCATTTGATTTTCAGGCATTTCAATTTCTCGTAAATTCCGATAAAACAATGAGTAGATAAAATCATTATCTATGAGGTACTTGATATGATCAATTAGAATATATATAGGATATTATCCTGTACGTATATAATAAACAATAAATAGTATTTTGGAATAATAACATCAATTAACCACTAATCCTGCATATAATAAACAATATAAAGTTTATTAGAATAATAACATAAATTAACCACTTATCCTGTACACAATAAATAATATAAAGTATATAATTAACAACATCAATTAACCACAGGCGACTGCTGCTGCCGGCGGCGATCACCTGATGCTGAGTCGCCGCCTCTTCTACCAGATCTTCCCCAGCGACCAGAGCTTCGGGGACACCAGCGCCGGGGTGTTGCACTTCAGGTGACCTGCTGCCTGCTGGGGCACCTGATGCACCTGCAGGTGCACCACAGGCCTCCCACCCAGTCCACCCAATAACCATAGGCCTATGACACTTATCGTTTTTAAATGCGGACATTTTTATTTCATTTTTATATATAAATTGCTTATAAGTTCACATATTGCGTGTGGATAGCGGCAGCGAGCTGCAGTATTTCGGCCGACACAAGCAAAGGCTCCTTCGTTTCTGTTTCTGGACGTAGCAGTCCCAGGCCACAATGGATCGCCGCCTCTGAGTATCGCTCAGCCGCTCTCGTTTGGGCCAGCTGATGCATGATGCAGTTGCTTGCTTCTGAACCGTCGGTAGTGGTGCAGGAACGGTCGATCAGGGATTGTGCTCTGGAACACGTCCAGTCGTCTCTTGAAGGTCTCCAGGGTGAACTCCCATTCTCTTACATCTTTTGGTAGGACGTTAAACCACCTCGACCCGGCCACGAAAAGGGAACCTTCCTGCAGGGATTGAAATCTGACCGCAGATCCGTTACATACAGATCTGATGACAGATCTGCACAGTAACACACACTTCCTGCACAGTCTCCCCTTATTACGTTATGATGTGACTCAATTTTGAAAGTCTCGCTTTCGAAGTTTGGTGCAATTCCGGTTATCATTTTCCATGTGTACAAAATGACATACCTCTCCCGTCTCCTCTGCAGTGAGTACAGACCCAGTGGCTACAACCACTCCCAGTACTTAAACTCCTCCATCCCTCTGATCCTGGAATTAAAGGTTCGTTGGACCCCTTCCTGGCCTTCCAATGGTGGTACTGCGCCGAGTGTGAACGGAGTCCAGAGCTGGCAGCAGTATTCAAAGATAGGTATTAAAAGGGCTCAGAAGAGTGTGATCATCGGTTCCGCTTCTGTCGTTCTCAACGACCACCTAATACATCCCATCTGTCGCCTACCATGCGGTTATTGCCGCTATGTGATCATCAAAATTGACCTGATTGTTTATCAACTCTCCTAGATCGCGAACGAGTCGCTTCTCTTCGATTTCCGAGTTGTCAGGTGCCAGGTAGAGGTGCTCCATTCCAGCTCTTCTGGTTCCTCTATACCTCAGAACCTCAAACCCATGTTGTTCACTAGGGCCCATTCATGTATTGCAGAGAGGTCTTCTTGCAACCTCTCGCAGTCCGTCCTGTCCGTGATGGTCATTAGAATCCTGGTGTCGTCCGCGAATGACGAAGCAGTGGCGTGGTTCACTTCCACATCTATGTCGACGATGTGAATGAAGAAGAGGATTGCGCCGAGTACCGTTCCCTGTGGTACTCCACTTTGTGGATCCATGCCAGCAATTAACTTCCGACCCCCAGTTGTCTTAATTCTCTGAAGAGTACTCCATGGTCAACTTTGTCAAATGCTTTCGCGAAGTCCAAATACACCACGTCCACCCTGCCCCCCCCCCTCCAGCATGGCCAGGATTTGGTGGTGATGCTCCAGTAAATGATACAAACAGGAGCGATTTCGTCTAAAACCGTGTGCCTTCTGTTAAAAAGCTCAGCCTCCTCCATGTACTGCACCAACCTTCTGGCAACAACCTTCTCAAATACTGTACTTTCATTACGTGTGATGTTAATGTAGCCGGCCCGTAATTTTGGGGTTTATCTCTCGCACCTCATTTGTAGATTGGGGTTATTAGTCCTAATTTTAGGTAACTAGGAACGTTTCCTTCTCTCAATGAAGTTTTCCAGAGTAAAGTCAGAGGGACCTTCAGTGCACCGACACATTTTTTCAGTAACACAGCAGGGACCCCATCAGGCCCGGGTACCGTTTAAGTCGATTATTCTTGGATACTCCTCTCTGGATCCGGTGCTTCAAACTCAATGTACATTAGCGTCCGACCTCCTGGTAAGTCTTGAATGACTCCAATTCCGTTCTCCTGTCTTGATGTCCTGTCCTGTCTAATTCCCCACTGATGCTCTGATTTTGGCCTTTGGCTGGGCTTATTTATAGAAATATTTGGGATCCTCCCGAATGGCAGCCACCGCTCGCGCCTCCGCAACTTGTTGCTCAGCCTCGTGCGAGTCTTGCAACTGTCGATCAGTGTCCTCAATTTTCTCCTTCAGATGTTTCAGCCTCCACCTCTCCATATTCCTGGAGGCGGCCGTTATCTGGTTGTTCAAGCTTGCCCGTTTTCTCGTGAGGATCCATCTGTCCCTTGTAATTATATGCCGTTTGGGGGTCGTTCTTCCCGGCGTGTGGCGCGTGCAGACCTGTAGTAATACATCACAAAGTTTGTTGTACATTGCTTCGGCATTTAACTCCAGGAACTCTGATCTTCAGTCGACGTCGAGGAGTTCGTTTTCAATGGCCTCCCAGTCTGTTCTTCGCTGGTGAAAATTTAGCCAAACCAGCCCCTCTGGAGATGTAGGTCTGGGCTGGTTTCCAATCCCAATTGTTGTTTCGACCACTACTAGCCGACGGTCTGACAGTGCGGTCTCCTCAACCCGAATATCAGAAACCAATTATTCATTGCTGGTGAAGAATAGATCCAGGGTATTGTGTTCGCTTGTTGGTACCAGAACCTGTTGACTTAGCGAGTGCTCCCTAACGGATCGAAGTAGTTGTGTTGCCTGAGTTCCGTCCTGATCTCTGCGCCGTCCTACACGGTCCAGTGTGGCCATCGTATGCGTGGCAAGTTAAAATCTCCTGCAACCACAATGCTTGGGGAAGGTTCATCCAAGTTGTTCAACCTCAGAGGTAGATCCCAACCTTCTCTGTTTCTTGAGAGAAACAGAGGTTCAACCTCTGTTTCTATTCTCTCAAGAGTTTCGTTGAAATTTTCCGGCGGGAATGTTCCACATATCCATTGGAGCCAAAATGCAGGTGAACTGTTTATGCCGCAATGGAGTTTCTGAGGTAGACTATAACGTATTCTTTTTTCTCCCTTCTTTTCGATCTGATCGTTAATGTTGAAAGCCTTTCATTTCGGTTTCTTCATCTTGGATATACTCTCTCAGATGTGACTCGGTTAAGGCAAGCATGATTATTCCTTCTGTCTCAGCAATTTCATTAAGTATGCCGATCTTGTAGCGTTTTCTTCTTGGGAATAGCCCCTCTATGTTGCTATCATGATGTCAGACTCTTCCATTCCTGGCGTCCTTAGTTGCTGCAACACCGCACTGCCAGGGGTCTCAGGCTCAGCAGCTCTTGCATTTGTTGCTGTTATTTCTGCTGTTGTTCGTGCAGTTTCAACAGCTGTTGCATTTGATGATGGATCTGGTCTTCTGGCACCTGTAGGTCTAAAAAATTACTGCGCCTGAAATGGAGTTCTCTGTGTTGTTCTCCACTCTGGTAGGATGTGGTGTCCAGTATGGTAATTGGGACAGCCCTTCTGTACCTCTGATTACGATAGATTCGCCCTTCACAGAACGGAGTTTTTTTAACAAATGCATTTTTTTTTAATTTTGAGTTTAGCAGTAGAGTCTATCTGGTGTTCTGTGGATTAAGTATCAAAATCCCGTCTCCCTTCGGTGTCTCTTCCCGCATACGGGCTGAATCTAAGGTGTTGAAAGCGACAATTATCTCGTTTCCGAGCTATGTTTTTTATAGTATTCCAGCACAATAACGGATGGTGGAATGGGCAGTATTTCCCATTTTCGCATCCACGTTGGTTTTTGCTTCCAAATGTTGAAAACGTGTGACAAATCTTAGGGTGAGGATACAAACAGCTCAGTCCTTTATTCTCATGATCGCAATTTCCGTGAAGATACCTCCAGCAGATGTGTTTGTTACCAAGCGAAATAGCCAAGGCATTTAAATGACCTGTGGGAGTGAGGGTGGTGTGCGAGAGAGTAAGGGTTACCCCTTCCCCATCCTTCTCTGGGCTGCGGTCACGGGGTGGGGTGCGAGTAAAGGGTAAGGGAGGCGGGGTACGATTTCGAACAGCGTTGGGGCAGGCGGGGGTAGAGGGAGTAGAGGGCGGCAACACCTAGGAACGTCGGCTGAGGGAAGTGATCGCGCTAGGCCTAATTTGATTTGCTTCACTCTCGAGAACACCTTGCACAACTTCGTCACATTCCTTGAACCACTCGTCATTCATTACGCATTTTTCTGAAGATGAATGACACCCTCGACTTTACGTATCTAGCAAGTTGGTATATTGGCAGTAGAGAGCATTCAAAGTGACAGAACGGGCTGCATGAATTACATCGCAGTGCAAATTTACCGTAATTTCTTTTTTGCATTGAATTCATTTTCCAGATGGTTGACTTGTACAAGCTTTGGCTGCCATTTTTACTGCTCACAATACTGTTCTCTGGTATGTTCCTTTACTCTCTCATTCACTGAATTAATTTATTGGTAAAAGTTTGTGATATTTACTCACTAATTGGGCAGATATATTGAAATCTAAACACTTAACGGGAAAGGCGAAATTTTATAAAATTACTTTTAATATCCACTTTATTCTCTATTCACGCTCGCTTTACTGACGTCACACTGAATTTCAGACTATTCACTGAAACACTTCGGTGAATATTTCGAAACACTTAGTGCCAGATGCATGCCACCAACAGGCAATAGAAAACGTCAAATCAAGACCGGTACACATACACGTCCGTCCTCTCTCACGGCTTAAGCAAAGGCTCGTGTCCGTCTGGCAGCAGGTTGACAGGTAACCGCCTTATATACCCGCAGTCTTGCCAACTCCGTGAAGAAATTCTGCATTTTACAAGAAAATTACAGAATCACAATTTTCTTCGGACAAGAACTACAGATAATATATGGCAAATTACTGAAAACTCTTTAAAATTTCCCCACACTAAGTGAAAATCTTAGGGTCAACATGTAAACACAAGAAATTTTGTGACCCGTAACTTGTTGACCCGTCCGATACATTACGTAAAATTCTTCAAAATCGAAAATATAAAAGGCCGTGAACCTAAAGTTGAT